TGTTTAAAAGTACAAAGTAGAGATGTATGGATGACTCAACATATGAAAATCTCTCGGTGTAATCCACCATATAAAAATCCGAAGGAACACACACACACACACAATCATCTCATTATACCTGAAAAAGCCTTTGACAAAATTCAACACCCCTTCATGATAAAGGTCTTGGAGAGATCAGGGATAAAAGAATGTACCAAAACATAATAAAAGCAATATACAGCAAGCCAACAACTAACATCAAGTTAAGTGGAGAAGAACTCAAGGGATTCCACTAAAATCAGGAACAATACAAGGCTGACCACTTTCTCCATATCTATTCAACATAGTACTCAAAGTTCTAGCTAGAGCAATAAGAGAGCAAAAGGATATCAAGGGGATAAAAATTGGAAAGGATGAAGTCAAATTTTTACTATTTGTAGATGATATGATAGTATACATAAGTGACAACAAAAAAAATCTACCATGAAACTCTTGCAGTTGAAAACACCTTAAGTGATATGACTGAATAGAACATTAACTCAAAAAAATTAGTAGTCCTCTTATATACAAGTGATAAATAGGCTGAGAAATCATTGAAACATTTACAAAATGGAGAACTATACAGTAGAAAAAAATGACATCTTGAATTTTGCAAGAAAATGGGTGGAGCTAGACAACATCATTTTGAGTGAGGTAACCCAGAAAGACAATTATCACATGTACTCAAATATAAGTGGTTTTTGAACATCAAGCAAAGAAAACCAGCCCACAAATCACAATCCCAGAGAACCTAGACAACAATGAGGACCCTAAGAGAGACATAAATAGATCTAATCTACATGGGTAGTAGAAAAAGACAAGATCTCTTGAGTAAATTGGGAGCATGGGGACCTTAGGGGAGGGTTGAATGGAATGGGAGAGGCAGGGAGGAGAGCAGAGAAAAATGTAGAGCTCAATAAAAATCAATTTAAAAAATCTAATAAATTAAAAAAAGAAATAGAAAAAGTCATTGAAACAGCACCAATTACAAAAGCCACAAACAATATGAAATATGTTGGGGGTAATTCTAAACAAATAAATGAAATACCTTGATGACAAGAATTTTAAGTCTTTGAAGAAATAAATTGGAGAAGATATCAGAAAGTGGAAAGATCTTCCTTGCTAGTGGATAGGTAGGATTAACATAGTGAAAATTTGCAATATTTCCAAAAGCAATCTACAGATTCAACGCAATTCTCATCATAATCCCAACACAATTCTTCACAGACCTCAAAAGAATAACTTCATGTGGAAAAACAAAATGCTCATAATAACTAAAACAATCCTGTACAATAAAGGAACCTTTGGAGGCATCACTATCCCTAACTTCAAGCTCCACTATAGAGCTATAATCATAAAAACAGCTTGATATTGGCATAAAAACAGACAGGTGGTGGGTTACAGCCAAAGCAATGTGACCTCAGGTATAACCTCATTCCTAACTCACAAACTAGACGATTAACTTTGCTTATAGTGAGAGTAGCCTTGTTTTGGTTGTACATCTGGAAGTTAGTTCCCTGTGGCCTCACTTTAATTCCTAAGCAACTCTTTGATAACAACAACTTAAAAAGAATAAGTTCCAGGTGTGATGACTGTACAGACAATGAAGTGTGAGACTCTCTCCCTTTGAGAAGTATAAACTCATGCTCTTAGGAGCACCTTATTTTTTTTCCTAGAGCTTCGTTTTAACCATTATGATTAAATCTACATAAAATCTCTTTTATTTATTTACTTTTATTTATTTTTTAAATTTCATTTTACATTCCAACCACAGATCTCCCCCCTCACTCTTCCTGCCCTCTCCAAGCCTCTGCCCCCTGAGCCTACCCCCTATCAACTCCTCCCAATGAGTGAGGGCTCCCATGGAAAGTCAACAAAGTCTAGTACATTAAGCTGGAGCAGGACCAAGCCCGTCTCCCCTGCATTAAGGTTGAACATGGCATCCCACCATAGGGAAAGAGCCAATAAGCTAGCTCATGCATCAGGGATAGATCCTGGTCTTATTGACAGGTACCGCACAGATCATTTATTGTGTGATGTTTTCTTCTTTTGGCTTTTTGAAGGGTTCCACCACCCAAATCCCAAATAAATTATACCTGGAGGCTTATTTTAAATGTTCTTCATAGGTTGAAACTTTATATTCATATCAAAGTTCGTAGTCCTGAATCAACCCTTTTGAAGTGTAACCACCAGACGTGGACATAGAATCCACGTGCCTTCTGATGGGCCCAGGAGGCAGAGCCATCAATAATATATGATTTGAGATTAATTTATCATTATATACATTTAAAACACACAAATCAATGTTTTATCCCTTGTGAACTTGCAGACTGGTCTAACTAGACATAGCAACGTAAAACATTCAATGATTAAATTCATCTTCCCGTAGCAGACTTCTTTAATGTTTGGTGCCCTTCAAATGTCCTCTAGCCTCACAGCAAGGATGCTGGAAGCCATCTTGCATCCATAACTTGAGTTAGCAAGGTATTTAGTGAGAGCTGTCAGGCTGCTCCAGGTGAGTCAGTAGCTAGAGTACAGCACCCTCTCGTGGCCAGAGTTCAGTTTCGAGGTAAGAATTTCGGCCTATCACCAGAAATAGGTAACTACAAATTGGATACCCTCCTGTAGAGAACTTCACCTTGGGCATTTCCAGCTTGGTGGCTGAGCCTTTGCCCAGTGTGCTACAGATCCAGACATGGCTCCACTGTGATAACTCTACTACCTCTCCATCTTAGACTCATTTTTTAGAACTCACAATCTCAAACTGTTTCTTTTTTTTTAATTTTTGTTAAGTAGTTGTAAATATTATCCCCTTTGGGAATACTTCCTTGTTTCTATTTTATTTATTATTATCAAATATAGACACATCAGATCTTAAAATATAAGGGGTTAGTATCTAGAATTCCTATTGAGGAAAGTCAAGGCACAATCCATGCGAGGTGACCTTAGCGTCAGCCCCGATTTGAAAGAGCAGCCCTGCAGCCTGTTTGCTGTGGTGTTAAGTCAGGCGACTTTACTTTTTCCTAAGTTTCCTCACAGGACGAGAGTAACCCTACAAAGTTATAATGGCTCACAAAGAAGCAATGTGAGCCACACAAAACGCTCACAGTCATTTCCTTGGGTAGCCAGCCCCCTTTCTGCATATCAGAATTCTTCCTGGGCATGGCATGGGATACCGTCTTCATTCTGACCCAAACTCTGTTCATCACGCTTGCTTGGCTCAACTGTGTATTGTCATTATCTGTAACATCTGGCTTTACAGGCACAATGAGCTAACTGGCGAAGCTTAGTCTAGTCTGGGTCTTTCCCAGGTTCCCTGTCCTCAAGGTATTCACCCATTCTTTGAGAAGAAAGCTTCGGGAACAAGGTATATTCAGATGTGTTTATTCAATAGACAGGCTAGTCAAGCATCATGGTAGTCTCAGCAGAGTTCAAGATCTTGACTTTCAGCAAGGTCCATATTTTTTAATGAGGACAGGAACCTGGCGGGCCCTGTAGAAGAATGGAAGAAGATAGGATATGGTCAGCTTGCATTTAATTGGCACAGATAAGTGACTATGGGAGAAAGGCAATGAAACTTCAAAAAATCACTTTTTAATAAGAGAGGCGTATGATGTATTCCCAGTTTTCTCTTTCTACAATTCATTTATTCATTTACTTATTCATTGGATATTTGCTGCTTGCTATTATATTCACAAGGGCTATAACAGAATATCATTGCTGTTTAGAGACCTATGGGGAGGCACCGGGAATCCTTGAAATTAATCTCAAATTCAGCCCTGCTGATGCTGAAAACTAAGTGATCATATGGAAATCTTAGCTGGTACCCAGGCTACAGCAGGTCCTTCTAATTGTTCAACATTTCATCTTAGATGATTGGGGGTTTGAATCTGTCAGGCCATCTTGAGTCTCATAAGAGCAGCCAATACTAAGGCCTTCTTTTTTAGATAGTATCTTCTCTACCCTTCCTGTGTTACCTTTATGAAGCCAGTTCCTCTCATCAAATCTAAATGCTCCTCAGTCCTGTTAGTTACAACCTTGTCCCTTAGTTACAAGATTGCTTCCAGAGTTGTCTCTCTAGCCATTGCTTTCTTGACCACACTGTCACACCACATATTTTTTCTATTTCTCTATTGTTGGAGAAGTTATGGTCCTCTTCATTTTCACATGGACATTTTCTAGACCCATTGTTTCTTCACTTTGCTTTTAACATTAACTTAGAATGGTGCCGGTTTCAAAGTCACTTCCATAAGCCTGTCATTTACAGCTGTGCTGTTCACTGAGGCTTGTTCTGCTATTAGCCATATAATGTTATTAACACTTAAAAGTTTAACAGTATAAAGTCTTCAGTTTCTCAATATACTGTCTGTGCTTCAGAGCCAATGGCCAGCACAGACAGAAGACATTTCTAGCACCACAGAAAGTTCTGTCATCATTGCTTTCTTATAGGAAAGAATTGTCAATTGAGAAAGCATAGGAGGCATATAATGTCCTGACTTAACATACCTGGCAGGCACCTGAAACACATGGACCTATCATAGCAAAGGTCTATCTGCTGTTTTCTGAGCATCTCAAATCCCAATATTTAGACTCAGTGTCTGGCTCTAGTAAGAGTAACCACACAGGTCATTTTTGGACAACTTCAAAAAAATTCCATTTTTAGTTAAAATATAATGACATCACTTTTTCTCCCTTTTCTTTCTCTAACCCCTCCCAAGCCCCCTCTGTCCAAATCCCTCATTACCCATTCACTTTTAAATTGATAGCCTCTTTTTCTTTGATTATTATTGCTTGTGTGCATGTGTGTGTGCGTGTATACAAATAGATTGATATATCCAGCTGAGCCCATTTTTGTTGTTTATATGTGTGACTTTTAATGGGCAGTCAAAGCAAAGGCGCTACAGAAACCTTAGAACATTGTTTACATTTGAGAAAGACAAGCCTATCTCGAGACCTAGGTGCTATTTCTGAACACAGGGTGAAACGTTGTGCTTTTGGGGAGCTGGCTGTGCCTCTTGCATTTACACGTAATTGAAAGAATACAAAGAACAAATTGCAATCCGTAGATTTAAAGGTCAAAGGAGAGCATGTTCAGCATTTCGCTCATATTTTCCGAAGGCTTCGCTCTAAATAGAGGCCTTTAGACTTCAGAGCTTATACTTGGAGATTTCACAAGTCTCAAGGGTGCTGTGGGGTTTTCCTCCTCCCTGTGGGTGGAAATAATGATGCTTGACCTTAGTGTCAACAACATAGGTCATGAGAAAATTAACAAGTGGTTCCTCCTGTTCCTCCCTACACATCTGAGCAGGGGCCTCAACCTGTAGCCCAAGGTGACAGACAAAAGAGCAGACTGGCTTAGAACTCGGGTTTCTTCTGCGCTGGCCTGCGGTGTGGGGGTGGGAGGCATGTGCTCTCATTTCTGGCATTTTTACACACTGGAAGCACACTCACCATAAAGCTGACTGCCTAGTGTTTGGGGTCTAAAATGTTTACACTCCTAGATAAACTCGGAGACTTTTCTGAAATCATTTAGAGCCACCCCAGAAGAGAATTCACTGTAGAGAAGAGATTCAGGCAGAGGAAAGGTGACAGTTTATAGCCACGTGAGCCGGAGCTGAAGTCTTCAACATGGAGTCAGTTCTAGAATATCCAAGTATTTACTGTCACATCTGGGGTCCCAACTGTTTGGTTGGAACTCAGAGCATCATTTAAACAGCATCCTCTTCAGTAAACCTTTCTTGGACCTTTCAGTTAGAAAACGTCCCCGTCTTTGCTTCGGTCACATGACACTTTATACACTACTTGCTGTCGATTGCCACAGCTGAGAAGTTGTTGCATGTGCTCATGAAGTGGGCTTGCTGTTGTGTGTTTTGTTTGTTTCTATCACAAGCGCATGGGAAAGAGGGAGGGTCTAGCATAATGCCTGGCACATGGTTCTAACTGCTCGGTCATAGCATAAGAAAACAAACTGACACATTTGTTTGTCCCAGTGTACCAACTCTGATTCCTGTTCCCCAACCTTAATTGCATCATAAAATTAAACTACATCGAGGCTAGATCTCATTCCCATGAATATAAATGTGATAAAATACATTTCAGTTCACTAAAACCTATATAATTTACATTTGCTAATTTGGGGGAAGCATAGTTAAAATGCAATTTTAACTATTGTCAAGAATTATTTTTTCAGATCAAAGATATTTTTTTTTGATTTTTCAAGATAGGGTTTCTCCGTAGCTTTTGGTTCCTGTCCTGGAACTAGCTCTTGTAGACCAGGCTGACCTCGAACTCCCAGAGATCCGCCTGCCTCTGCCTCCCGAGTGCTGGGATTAAAGGCGTGCGCCACCACTGCCCGGCCAAAGATATTTTGTATGTTTAGGCATTTTGAAAATCTAGACTATTAGCTGTATTGCTAAGAATATTAAAGCTTTTATTATTATATCAATTTTTAAAGTATATTATACCAAATTTATGAAAGGAAAGATTTATTTATTGACCTAGGCTTCAATAGGATAATAACATTTGTAAAATTCTAATGGTAAGAAAGCTAAGATAAAAACTTATAAACTAGATTTTATCCTCACCTGTTTTCAAAGCACAGACTGCATTCATTGGCATAAGTAATTCCATCCGCCCCACACACAGGGTCATAATTCCTGGGACATCCCATAGTTGCACCATTGCAATTGGCCTAAACAGAATCAAGAACAGTCATTTTCTATTATTTCTCAATGTTTGATCTCATAATAAAATATTACATTTTTTAAAAAAATGTCTTGCTTTCAGTTAGGATCATGATGCTGAATGTTTTACAAGAAAACAATAATAACAACAATGAAAGAAATCTGCCCTGGAATACAAAAACCTGACTTAAACTCAAGTTATGGCCATTTCCTCGTTATATGACATCACGAGTCCATTAACTCTTCCCTTGATCTCAGTCACTTCATCAACAAATAATGTCAGGTCCCAACTTAAGTCATGGTACTGTGGGGAGGTTAGCTAAGAGAAGGAAGATAACACTCAAGCTCCCAGTTCCTGGTGTGCAGACTTTTTTTATGGCCAGCTGCTAACAGGATAGTCTTCCTTGCCGATTATCATGAGACTATTTTCATAGCACACTGCCCTTCAGTAAATGCATTATTCTATTGGGAAAGTCCCACCCCTCAATCGAAACCATCAATTATCCATTCATTGATCTACCCCATAACTGTCTTGTAAAGTTGTTATTCACTCTCCCTCAAGGGAAGAGCCACGGAGTGATGAATCGAGTTAAAGTCACATCATCTAGTGATTCCTGGACCCTGGGTTCCAGCTCCTGGGTGCTACATCATCACCTCCTCTTTTCAGGACATCGACCACCAGCTCTGTTTTGCTGGCATTCATTCTTCATGGATCAATACTTGGGGACCCTTCTTTCACCTCTCTAACAGCTTGTATAGGAAATCAGAGAATTAAGAAACTATAAATTATAAGAAAGTATAAAATTCTCTTTACCTGTTTTCCCACTAAGTTAGCTGTAGTGTTACCTAGAAAATACAAACATGTCAACTTGAATCCCAGATAAAAAAAAAAGCCAGAGCTATTCTATTCCTATTTACCAAAGAATACAGTTTTCATAATGACTTCTCTGCTTCCACCATTCACTGCCCATCTCTTGATTTCCACAGACTTTCAAGGACACTGGATGGATTTTCCCCACTCTCTGCCTGCTAAGATCTTGCAAAGAATTAAGTAAAATGTTGACTGTTACTGAGCATTTAAGAAAATTTGATCCACTTGCTTGAGAATAGAAATTCTCTACTCGGAGTTTGAAGTGTTTTTGCGCTAATCGTTCCGACACACTCTGGACGCCCATCAGTGTTCTCTCTGCGTCCACTAGAGCCTTCATCTCAGTCAGTGAGTTATAAATATCTGCACCTCTGGGCATGGATGGCAGGATGGGAAATAAGCATCAGGACTTGGGTTGTAATTAAATTCCTTTTGTAAATAGTGTTGAAAATGGGGCTCTTCTGCCAGCTCAGCATTAGTTCTCAAGACCTTTTTTCCACAGGTGCCTTACACTGACTGACTCGAGGTCCAAATTGTCTTCTATGTATTCACATCGTGCAGAAAAGACTCCATTCTTCAGAAGACAAGTCTTTCTTACATCAAGGCATATGATAAATATACATATATGTAACAATAATGAAAGTAAACAAAATTGGGAAGAGGGAGAGTAGGTATACAGGATGGTTTGGACGTAGGAAAGGGAAGGGGGAATGATATAATTATATTCTCCAAAAGTTATTTTTACAAAAGCAGATGTGAATGTAGATGAGCATTCCAGAGAAAGGAATCTAATCTGACAGCCCCCGAAGGAGAAATGTTCCCCAAACTTAATTTTCAGTCAATGATCTCTAAGGGAATGAAAAAGATCTCTGGGATTCATCAGAGAAGATGAGGCTGCTGGGGTCCCTTTAGATCCAGAATCTAAATGAGCATAAACATTGATGAGCAGGGGCTCATTACAGGCATCTAGTTGTATTAATTATTAGGCTTGAGGTGCATCAAAGGACTCTTTTCTTCCATAAATATTTATCTAAAACAGTAAGCAGTGGTCTTCCCTTTCTTAGCTAAACACAAATGTGGTTTTAGTCGAAAGCTCTGCCTGATCAGCAGTAAGGTGAAAGTATTCAGCAATGCCAGTTATAAAACCCAAACCCATCTCAACCAGGATCATTTCCCAACATTCTCCTGGTGAGTATAAGGATTCCTTCATCTGTTCAAGCAGGATATATATTTTCTTTCTGAACAGCCTACAGATCAAACATAAAACTTTTAATCACTCAAAATATGACTTTCATGCAAAGTAACTGGCAGTCATTGTTTTCCAATTTATGCAAGTTCATAAGAATTTCAGTTTTGTAAATTGGCCTTACATAGTTTATTAGTCACTTATAGAGTTAGAAGAGTATTTTAGATGGAAAGCCCTTCTTCTCTGCCATGTCTCTAACAAAGTAGCAGCTTTGTCTTTAGGTCAGGCCATAACTTTCTCTGGGCACATCTTCCCAGAGATCCTCTCCTCATGCTAGAAATTGTTTCTTTCTGTAATTCACACTAGAAATGCTTCTTTTTTGTATTGACTCCATTGATTTTATTTCAACTCATTGACACTAGTGAGCTAACACCAGACTATCTAAATTTCCAGGAGATATACTCATTAAAGCCACAGATGAAAACTCTTTACTAATTTTGGAAGAATACGCAAACACACCTACCTGCTAAAGTGAGTAGGACCAAGGCACTAAGAAAGATACTTGCCACCTTCATGGTTGCAGATGCAGGTGCAAAGGTCCGGAGAACTCTCTGCACTGTGCTTTTTTTCAGAAACCGAGGAATGGTCTTATAGACAGATGGTAACACAGGCCCCACCCACTGTGCTGTTATCCTTGGTTATTGATTGACTATGTGAGGCCTCTAAGCTGGGGAAATGTTATCTGAGTCAGAAACGAGGCATGAAAGGCTAGACCTAAAATTCTGCCAGGAAAAGCTAGTTAGCTTAATTCCTGACATCCTCTTGGATTTTGAGAAATCCTCCCCCCTTTCCCGAGCCCTGGTTTTCTTATCTGTAGGTGAAATCAAAGGTCCTGTCTCCTCTGAATGGATAGGCTCAAAGACACTTTCCTTTCTTCCATTCTTCCACTCCTGTGTTTTGTTTTCCCCATTTCTCCATCACTGCACATCCATTAAGACTTGATAGACTGCTGGCAGGGAGGGGTAAAAGATAAAGAGGGCTCAGTCCCCTGTCTCTCTGTCTCCAGTTCTGTCTCTCTGTCTCTGTTTCTACCTCTGTCTCTGTCTCTCTCTTCATCTCTGTCTTTGTTCTATATCCCAGTTCCCTGTCCTGGGGCCATGAGTGCTTACTAGAGTAGTTGCAAGCATTTAGATAATTGGCTCACTTTCTGATTGCTTCAATTTACTCATTTGAAAATTGATATCACAGTAATAACTAACCCACAGGATCGGTCCTGCATTATCTGCTATGTACTGAGCGTCTGCCATGCAGGGTGTTATTTCTGTATTTTCTTCCATGTTTCTGCCTGTCTCATGAGTAGAGATACTCATCACTTTGTTTCAGACTATCTTTTCCAGTGTGTTTGTACAGCAAGCAGTCTTGACAAATGAAGTAATGTCTCCCTTTGCCACAAAGGCTAAGTTTTCTTCTGTCTAGAATAATAAAGAACATATTTTAGAGCAGCACTAATGTGGGGTTACTGCCCTCTTAAAATGAGCTGGCCTTAAAAAAAAAGTTTGATGTCCTTTTCTCACAGCACCGAACACTTTCTGCATAAATGTCATATGGTTCTGCTTATATCATCTTTAGGAAATTAGAGTTTAATACAAATATTTATACTTTAGCTATTGTTACAAAATAATTAAGTCATTTGCCTGACCTTGGTACCTGACTTATGTCAACATCCCCAAATGGTGACTGACTAATGTTTCAGTTAACCAGTAGCGTAACCGTTCAGATGCTAAACGTTCTTCAAGTCTTCAGAAACTTTAAACACTACCAGTCTTTTGAGATATACCAGTGGATAAAAAAGATGTGGAACTCTGTGTTTCATGAAGCTTCCATATGTTTTAGTTGAGGGAGATATAAAATAGGCAATAATAAAAGGTTATAAAAATCAGATTATGACAAACATATGGAAAAGATTAGAGAGACGTTCATGAAAGGTAAGGCTATTTATGAGAAAGTGGTGAGAACAGGCATTGATGGAGAGGTGGCAACCAAACAGTAGGAAGCGAGGAGTTAACTATGGGCAAATCTATGAGTATCTATCCCAGGCAGGGAAAATGGTCAGGGCTAGCCTCTGAGCATGACAGTTCACTTTGAGGGAAGTGAGAGAGGACAGTGGGGTAGGATGTGAAGGAAACAGTAAGGGCCTGAGTCATGAAGGAGCATGCAGGTCATTGTGAAGGTATGAGTATTCATGAATGAGAAAATTTGGGAATATGAAGTTTGATGTCTTCCTCAGGACATCCTATAGACATCTTAAAGGTGGCATGCCCTGTGCTACATTTTAATCACTTAGCACCCTTAAATATTTTTCTTCATTCTCATCCCTGTTTCTTTTTATTTCAAAGTAATTGCTCTAATCAAAACCTTACTATTAATCTTGATGGTTCTTTACCAGTTACCAACATCTGCAATTTTATCTCACCATTCTCTCTTATCCCCTCTCTCTCTCTCTCTCTCTCTCTCTCTCTCTCTCTCTCTCTCTCTCTCTCTCTCTCATATGCCCACAATTTATACACACTTCAGTCATGTTTACTATTGCTCCTTAGACGACACCACGTCATTCACTTGCACCAGTTCCACCAGGTGCCTTCCCAGTGTCCTGTTTCTCCAGAGCTCTGCGCATGCAACAGTCTCTATGGAACGGGGCTATGGCCATAGTTCTCTCCAGTCCTTCATTCTTTGAGATCCCTGGGATGGATGTAGACTTCTTTCTACTTCTCTTGCTTTATCTCTAGGTGGCATCCTTCTTAATCCCTCAGCCATGTTGGTCATTTCCTTGTTTTCCCTAGATAAGAATAGTCAAATGTAAGACCTTCATTCAAACTTTAAGATGTGTTAAATATTTTCTCACGAGTCTTTCTTATGTCACCCTTCATTTACGTTCAACACTCCAGTTATATATTTACTGACATTCCTCATATCACTTAAAGTAATTTTAATTCTATTGGCTGGAGAGATGATTTGAAGAATTTACAAGTACTTGCTGCTCTACCAAAGGACCCAGATTAAATTCTCAGAAGCCACATTGCTCCTCATAATTAGCAATAATTCCAGTTCTAGTGACTCTGAAGCCTTCTTCTGGGCTTGCATGCCTCAGGCATGAATGTGGTGTACAGACATGCATACAGGCAACAAAACAAAACAAAACAAAAACAAAAAACAAAAAAAAGAAAGAAAAAGAAAACCTCACATACATAGCAATTTAAAAATGAAATCTATATCCCCTTCTAAGACTGCTAGAAAAGATTTTTTAATTTTTAGGGAATAAATATACTTGTTTTGGTTTAGCAACTAGCAAAGTACCTGCAAAATATTAGGTATTAAATAAATATTTTATGAAAATACACATTTGGTAAAATATAAATATTCTGATTTTTTCAAAGATCAGAGTTTCTGTCTTGCTCATTCCTGTGTTTCCAGTCACATGGTATTTCATTCTTGGTCTATTTAACAGTTTATTCATTCAAGTCTTGATATAATAAAAATATTGTTTTCTTCTATCTGTAAACTCTCATTTGCATATTTGGGACGTGGATATGTTTTCGATCACCATGCAGAATTCATCAAATCGGTAAAATTCTTGCTATTCATCTCGGGCCATTAACTGTGTAGTGGCCATAATGCTGGCAAGAAAGTGTCAGCGGCCACTATTGAAAGTTTATACTCCGAAAAAGGATTATTTTTTTTGTTCCAACAAAGTAATGAAAAGTCTCGAGGTGGGAGAGGGAATTGTTTGCCATCTTGTACTAGGCATCCTTTAAGTAACAACAGCGGCAGTCACAGTATTCAGGTTGAGGCTGGCTGATTCTAGGAACTGGACAGTGATTTTGATGCTCTTTGACTCTGAATCCAAAGGAAAAAAAAAGTCATGTTATGATGGATTGATGAGCAACATCAAGAAGAAAGAAAAATCAGTTTTACGACTTTGTATTTTGATTCTGTTCTGACTCATAACTCAGTAGTCCTCACCTGTCCTTGGGAAACATTTCACCGCAGTGTGAATTCCAAATCATCTTGTGATTCTGAATGGTACACCGTGGGACATGGTTCTGGTTAGAAATTGGCCATGGAATGGGGATTGGAGAAAGTGAAGAAAGACATGTTGAAGACAGTGAAGAAAGCCTGTGCAGAAGTCAAGGCAGACCTGGTTTCAAGACTAAGTCTACTATGTTACCTGTGGGGCGGCACTATTTCCTCACAGGTCAAACTACATTTGTTTGGTTAGAGAACAGACTTTGAATGTGTACTTAAGTATTGCACAAATATATTTGTTCTGGAATTACAGTTACTGGCTGGTAATAAAAGCATCCTCCTTCCGCGGGTTGGAGCAATGGATAATGTATTTAGGCTTCTTGTGCTCAGTGTCTGGACAGAGTAACAGACATTGTTTATTTTGGAGGATGATACAGGCTTTGACTGGAAGAACCCGGATACTCTCATGCTCAAGCTGTGTCATGATTAGAACACTTCCATTGTCTAGCCTTGTGGAAATCTCTTCCCCTTTCTTACCTCTTGGTGTACATTGGGAACTCAAATACGACATGACCGAGTCCCTGCTAATGAAAGGACTGATTATGTACATGAACAGAGAACGATGACAACCATTAGGAGAACTGTTTCAATTGATGCTGATGAAACTTGCTGGAATGAGGATGTCAGGAAGGTACCTGCTGATTTTCACGTCCTGTACAAAAGTTTGTTGTGTAAGGAAAAGGGAGACATCAAGCCGAAGTTGTTTGGTCTGACATTTGGCATGACATTGACATAGCCAAGTCCTTTTGATGTTTGTTTGGTTGGTTTTGTTTTTCAAGACAGGGTTTCTTTTTGTAGCTTTGGTGCCTGCCCTGAAACTTGCTCAGTAGACCGTGCTGGCCTTAAACTCACAAATCAGCCTGCTTCTGCCTTCTGAGTGCTGGGATTAAAGGTGTGCACCACCACCACCCAGCCTGATGCTTGTTTTTTGAGACAGGGTCTCCTACAACACAGCCTGGCCTCACACTATATAGCTAAGGCTGGTCTTGTGCTTCTTATCCTGCTGCGTCAGCTCTTGAGTGCAAGGGTTATCAATATGGGACTGACGTAGCCACATCTTAATAACATTCTTAGTTTTCATTATTCAAGGAACTTCATAACTGTTTATACTCCTCTCTTTTCTCTCTCTCTCTCTCTCTCTCTCTCTCTCTCTCTCACAGACACACACACACACACACAACACACACACACACACGCACGCACGCACGGACGCACGCACGCACGCATGAATGCCCATGTAGAGTTTAGAGTTGAACCTTGGGTGCCATATTCTATTAGTTTCTTCCCCACAACTTCATCCTTTATCCTTTACATCTAGGCTGACCAGGGAACCCCAGCAATCGTGCTGTCGCTGCATCCTCTGACCCCCCAACACCAGTGCTGGGGATTTGATCTAAGGTATCGTACTTACGAGGTGAGCTCGATCTACAGTCTCATATTTATGAGGTGAGCTCTTCTGTCCTCTGAGCCATATCTTCACCCCATCATTTTTCTTAAATGGACTTGGTTTTGTTGCACTGATTATTCTGGAATTAGCCTCAGAGATTTTTATTGGCTTAGCTTCTAAATCT